TTTTCTTTTTTTTTTTTTAATTTTTATTTTTGTTTAAAGTATTACAGATGTCCCTTTTTCTCCCCAATGACCCGTTCCCCTCAGGGTGAAACTCTTAATAGGCTGGGGCCTGGCCTGTCCCCTCCCCTCCCCATAAAAGGAGGTTGATTTTGGCTCAGTAGAAGGAAGTATTATCCAACAATTAGAGCTATCAGCAATACAAATAGGTTCCCTTGGGGGACAGTGAGTTCCCTTTCAAACAGGTTTAACAACTGGCAAAAGGGGATCAGTGTTGGACTAGCGGTTAGATGAGCTGACATGTGGTTCCTTGAATCTGTGGATGGCACAGACCATCAAAAACAGTGAATACTAAAGATAATTCTCTTGAGCACACTCCACAGACTGACATACACTGTTCCTAGCATCCAGCAGGTATATCAAGTGAGGCAACAGTGGCCTTAATTGTGTTGGCTGCTGCATTAAATACTTGAAAATTTCCAACTGCCACCAACCAGTGAAGAATGCATCTCATATCTAAAACTAATATAATATTGTGTGCCAACTGCTTTAATTAAAAAAAAAAAGAAAGCAGCCAGGCCAGGCGTGGCTCAGCGGTTGTGTGTTGAGTGTTGACCTAGGATCCAGGTGATCGGGGTTTGATTCCCGGTCAGGGCACATGCCCGGGTTGTGGGCTTGATCCCCAGTCGGGGGCGTGCAGGAGGCAGCCGATGACTCTCTCATCACTGATGTTTCTCTCTCTCCCCCTCTCCTTTCCTCTCTCTAAAATCAATATATATTAAAAAAAAGAAAAGAAAAAAACTTCATGAGCATAAATGCACTGGCAGTCACTGTTCTCTTAAAAAAAAAAAAAAAAAGAATGCATCTTACGCTGGGAACTGAAAGCAAATGCTTACTCTTCAGGAGATTTACACCAAGTAACAGGATCCTCCTTAGTTAGGTATTATGGGTGGCTGAGACAGCAACAACGGTTAGTGTTCTTCAGACCCTCTAGAGAAACTATATACACGTGAACACATTTATTATGTCTTGCTTTTAGGAACTCATGTTCTAAGGCAACCGATCCCCCCCGCCCCCATATATAATTCATATACCATAAAATTCACCCGTTTAAAAGCAACTAATTGTTTTTAGGCGTTTTGATTTACTCTAGGAAAGACTTTGGAAAAGGCTCCACTCAGCTAGAATAGCTATTATATGCATGTATGTGTATCTTGCCTTGTTTCACCAAAGAGTTAAGGTTGTGATGTATTAGCATAAATAAAATTAGCCTTTTGAAAAATAAACTAAAAGGTTATTCCAACACAAGGAAAGTGAAAAGTGTAGAATTCACTCTTTCAGCCATGAACATGTTAAGCATCAACTTTTGTTTCCTATAATGCCCCAGATAAGGAGCTTTCTTTGGCCAAATCTTCAATGCTCAGCTCTGTCTCCTTCCTCAAACTCAAAAACAGCAGCTTGCTACTAAGAATTCACAGTGCTGATTATGACAGACAAACCCAAAACAGAGAAAAGAAATTCAGAAAATTTACTCATATTTTCACCTTCTAAAATTTCCTTCCTGCCTTTTTTGCACTCAGTAACTCATACACCACAGAGAAGGGTTTGTAGGGAGCCCTCTCGTCCATCCTACAGCAGAATTCTCCACCAGACAGGAGCAGAACCTTCTTACATTTCTAGAACTTTCCCCGCATCCTACATCAACGCCCCAAACTCCCCATTTCTCTACTGTCAACTATCTGTTGACAGTACATGAGTAATTTCACCTCTCTCGGCTGTCACCACACTCTTTAAGTATGACGCTCTCATCTGGAGTTTCTTTAGTTTTCCCAAGCACCCATCATTTCCACACCAAAAGCCCTCAACCTCCCCCAACAAACCTATACCACAGGGCTTAGTGCCCTCTGCCTCTCCATTTCTCAGAGACCTCAATTCATATTTACGACGTGTAGGCAAAAATTTCAAGTCATCAACACAGTATCTGTTGTTGAAACAGCCAAGCGAAGGTCTTTCTATGTGGAAAACAGCGGTAAAGAGGTAAGGACACAAAGCCAAACAGTCAAAAGGACAGAAAAGAAAGCAACTCATAGTTCTCAGTGAACATTTTCAACAATTTTTAAAACAGCATAGTGAGCATGGTGTTTTAAGTCACAAGCCATGGTTCAAATCCCAGCTTCCCCCTTAACTAGCTCTGTGACCTTGAACAAGTTAACTTTAATTTTTGAATTTCAAGTTTCCTTATTGATGGGAAAAGGGTGGCTAATACCTCATAAAGTTATTGAGGATTAAATGAGTATTTATATGAAATGCCTAATACAGCCCAGTACACAGGAACTCGCTACAACAACAAACCATAATTGTGGAAGATTCCCTAATTAGTATACTTTTCCTAAGTAAAGTCTACATTGCCCTCTGCCTATGTCACTTCTTTCCTCATAAGCAACCTGATTCCCACCCCTACCCAAAATACAGATGTCTATATTCTTAAAAGA